GTTACAATTACTCGCCAACAGGATGAAGTGTACCAGGTTTAGCAATTAAGGGACTGGGGTATAAATCATTATTTATCTCCTGTGGTAGTTAAATTCCTCCTAATTTAAGCTTCTCCAAGATCTTGTTGCATGCATAGAAACATGAACAGGCTTAAGTTCCTTATTAAACACATCTGACAATACGTATCAGCCAGCAAATGCTGACTTACTATGCCTGCATTAGGTTCAGCTCCCGTGGGGCATGTTACTGGAAATACTTTAGCAAGTTTAATTATAGGGCAATAACCAGAGACTTTTCTCAAAGCTTACCTGTATTTTATTTTTATTTAAAAGTTTAATACCCTATTAATAAAGCATCACACATTGTAGAATTTCAATATAGTACAGAATAGCCTACTACTACTACTAAAACAGATACTAAAAAAGGTAAAAACCCCACCATTACAAGAGCAGCAGTAAAAGATATCACTACAGACTAAAGAAATCCCTATTTACCGTAAAACTCTACTTAAACTCTTATCCTCAATTTCAGCATTTATGTGCACAGCATCACTATTTTGTATAATGTATCTTCTGAAAGCTAAATGGATCACCACCATGTAAACACTTTTGAACATCTATACAAAGGTAGATAATAATCTGGCTACGATAACATTTCCTAGTTGTTGAAAACTTGTGCTCTGCTATTACACATTTTGAAAAGGTTAACAGCTATAGGTGTATTTGTTAAATCAGGATCACAGTTAGGCACCTATATTTATTCTACTTTCTAAAACCCTACACAAACTTGAATTAAACCAGATGATTTCCTCAACACTGTATATAGCACAGAAAAGGTTACCAATAGGTACACAGTCCTGCTCTGAAGCCACAGCACTGGCAAACACATGCTGAATGCAAATAGCAGTGAAAAAAATACTTTTTGTATTAGACCACACATTCTAGAAAGCTTAAAATTAATCAGAAAAACCTGGTTTACACAGTTTACACATCCATAAGACCTAACAAAACGATATGCCAGCACTTAACATCACAACTTAGTTTTCCTCTTCAAACCAGAATTCCATGCTGCCCTTTGGAAAACAGTTTAATACCAGTTGTCTCAACAAAATATTTCAAGATCTGAAGAGGTACATCATTTCTATTACCGTAGTCCAGGATTTGTTGACAGCTATATAACATTCATTTAAGTTAAACTGAATTTCCACTTGTTGGGAATCTCCCAACTAGTTAAAATGACTGATCATACACAACTACAATACATACCAACAGACCCCTCAAACAGCCAGCAAATTTTCCCCTCTTCACTGACTTGGAGTGCAGTTTTAGATAGAGAAGAACTAGCACAATTGTAAGAGCTATTATGAGTGCAGAAATAGTCATCCAATTGTAAATTCGTAACAGAAGTCTGCAAAACAGCAGAAATTTGGTATTTCAGTACACCAACCTGTTTTGTGGTCATCTTGCAGAAGGCACCAATGCCAGGACAAACTGCCACGAGTTATTTATCAGTTGCACAGGCATGTAATGCCAACACAGACACTAAAATTACTTCATTACTAATTACAAAAATAGAGCAAGAAAGAACTGTTCTCCCCTAATAATCTGAAATGCTCAAGGATGAACTCTTCCCTTCATGCAAGGGAAAGGGTAGTTCCCAATTTATTTATGTATGACTGTGAAATGAACCCTCACAGAGGAATTAAACCCCTAAGCAAGGTTCAGGGTCAGCTTAAATCCAAACACTCTCCTATTTCAACACATAATGGTACAGCCCCTTTGCCTGATGAAGGCATATTTTGTACAGTCAAGATAAACCTCCTTATTTATCTTATTTATACAAAATTGATTATTTTACATCCTCTACTTTTAGTGACAGTGAAACAAGGAAAATTAAGCTTACAGGGAGGGGATGAAAGCTATGAAAACAGCACTTAGTGCAAGACTTAAAATAACATGATAAATTATTCCAGTACCACAAACCAAAGTAAAGACTTCAGCACCTAGACAATCCTCCACTGCCAACAGCTTTCACTTAACTGCACAAAAATTAGCTTCCTTTACATTTGGTCTACATGGAGAGCAGCAATTTACTGACATCTGCTCCCTCAGTGAAGGAATTAATGTCTATCTGGAACACAGACCCAGAAATATTAACTCTGATGGGAAAAAAAAAAAACCTAGCAAGCTCAGAGGATGTATTAACACCTATGATACATAGATTATTAAATTATTTCTGTCCAAGGACTGCGAAATGCATGTGCTTTTCAGGGTACAGTCATCTAAGTAATTGTGCAAAAGATATTCCTAATCAAAATGCAAATATAATACTTTCTTTATGAAGGCATCCAATTTCACCATGATGTCTGATGACACCTGTATACTTCAGAAGAGCTGAAGTGAAAAGCCAGAACAAAACTTTACATTTCCTCATATATTAATTATTCCAAGCTTTATGCTATCATAGCCTTGTTGGACAAGCTGATCCTGGAGGTCCTTTCCAACCTGGTATTCTATGATATCCCAGCAGTGATCCAGCTCATTTGCAGTATGGGTAGTTATACTCACAATAATAAACTTTCAAGCTTGAAGTTACATGAGGTGTTTCAATATAAATCTTAATCGCTAATGCTTTCAACAAAACACTTATAAACTCCTACCTCTTAGATAGCATCTATCTCTTTTCTAGCTCTGCTTAGAGAAACAGGGTTAATGAAGAAATACCAAAATCCTTCCATGCAGGAGATGAGAGTTCATCACTCCATTATAGGCACAGAATTTTGATCCCATGACTAATTTCCCAAAACAGCCCTCACATCACCAGAAACATTAACTTTTCAACAGGAAACAAAAACTGGCCTCCTGACACCACCGATGCACACTTCACTGTGAACCTGTTTCGTCATCTTTGGTAGTCTCACATGAGCTTGGGTCAAATTTAGTGGAAACTTACATAGCTTTAAAAATATGTTTAGGAAACATTAACACAGCACTCCAACCGAGTTCATTACAGGAACACAGTAACACCTTATTTAAGAGCTGAAAAATATTTGCTTAGTTTTAAGTAGCCCAAGCCCATTGGCGTGCTTTTTGTAGGAGGGAAGGGTTGGAAGGCAGGGGGGTTTGTTTGTTTTGAGGGTTTTTGAGATGCCTACTCCTTTGTTTCCTCTCAGCAAGAAAAACAAACGAATTTAAATCCATCTAATTCAATTCCTTTCCCACCACCCTCAAATCCTCTCATGCTTCCTCCAGCGAGTTGCATCATGGACATCCAGTCTGAGACAAATGGGGTGCAAGGGCTCTTTGGAAGCCACCTCTTCTACCCTCTCAAACCGGGACCAGCCTTTAAGCCGGACGCACTGCACGGGCAGGGCTGGGGTTTATGGTCTAAATTTGTTCAATAGTTTGTTTTTTTTCACCTCGGCTTCCGCGCCTGGCGCGCTCTCAGCCACACGCCGGCGGCGGGAGCCACTTTGCCCGTCGCCATCCCTCCGCAGCCGCGCACGGCGGCAACGGGCGGGAAGCACGGCACCGCACTGCCCGCAGCCGCGGGGAAAGCCCCTCATGCTCACACTCGCCGCGCCGCCGACCAACAGAAAAGGAACGCCGCAGAGGGCACACGGAACCCGCAGCGCGGCGGGTGGCCTCCGGCCACGCCGAAGGCTGTATAGAGGTTGGGGTATGGGAAGGAGCGAAGAGACAAAACCGCGACCGAAACGCTTGCCGCCCCTCCGGCGGGTGGCGAACAAAGCCTCGGCCGGCTCCGCAGCGCGCCCCAGCCACCGCCCGCCCGGGCACAGCGCCTCAGCCGCTGCTACCCGGCATCAGCCGCCGGCGGGCGCGGGCCGGGCGCCGACGCCCACCCATGAGACGGAGCCCCCCGCTGTCCAGCTGCCTCCTCCCTCAGGCACACAGCCAGGGGCGGAGGTGCGGCGGGGCTGGCGCGCCTCAGTCACCGCGGCAGAAGCCAGGCGGCCACCAGCCCTCCCTCCCGCCCGCGGCCCTTCAACCCAACCCCAAAGAGCCGCCGCCACTCTGCCACCTCCCTCCATTCCCTACGGTCCCGTCCCATCCCGTCTCGTCCACCTGCTCCCGGCGCCCACCTGCGGAGCAGAGCAGCACGAGGGACACCACGACCAGCGGCGGAGACTCCATGTCGAGCCGCGAGCAGCGGGAGACCGGCACGGGCTGCTCGGTCCCGGCGGGCACCTCCCACGCGCACCGCCCAGCAGGTGAGTGAGTACGTCACTTCCGGGCAACACCACACCCGCGGTGGCTCGGCTGTTACCCCGCCGGCAGTGGCACCTGCTGCGCTCCCGGCTCTCCCCTGCCGCGGAGCCCCTCCGGCCGCCCGGCGCTCCCTCCGCCGCTGCCCGTGCCCGCGCACCTTGGCCGCCGGGCAGGCTGGGCTCTCCGCGCCTCATCGGCTGAGCTCACCGCGCGCGCCGCACCGGGTCCCAGGGCCCAAACCCCGCTGTGAGAGAGTGAGGGTGCCGCGAGGGTGAAGCGGCGCCCGGGGTGCCAAGAGCGCGGCCACCGCCATGGGGGGGGGGGGGCACTCTCGACGGTAGCCCCGTCCCTGGCAGTTTCGTCTCTCGGTCCCCATGGCAACGCCGGTGTCACGTGTTGTGCTTCCCTTACACCGAGCGCAAGTCCTTCGACGGAAAGATCTGGAACTGAAGCCCGCAAGCGAGGCACAAGGGAGATCAGCACCTCTGCGAAGGGGCGCAGTCCGATCTTCACTTGTCATAAGGCGCGGCTGCCCCGTGTCCAGAATAGCAGTGGGGTCAATTCCAGACTGTGGGCTGTATTCGTGTACAGCAAAGCCATTGGTTGCGTTTATCAGAAGATGAATCCGTTGACGAAGTTTATTCTCCATAATTGTGTTCTATACATTCACTGCTAGGCATGTATTACTGTGTGCTGCAACATGTATACTGTATACTGCTATGTATGTGTTACTGTGTACTGCAATATATAGAGCTCTTAACTGGCATGAACATGTTTTTGTCACTGTTATTTATTCATAGAATCATAGAGTGCTTTGGGTTGGAAGAGACATTAAAGATCACCTAGTTCCAACTCCCTGCCATGGGCAGAGACACCTTCCAGGTTGCTCCAACCCCCGTCCAACCTGGCCTTGAACATTTCCAAGGATGAAGCACCCACAGCTCTTGTAAAGGTACCATCTCCTTTGTTAGGTGTACAGCTCTGTCTAAATTAAGAAAGTGTCCCCATAACCAAATATTTACACAAATGCAAAAGCTATGCAGTCCAGATTTTGCAGTCCAAACAAATCTTGAAAGGGATCATATTACTATTTGTTACTGTTCTTTGATGTCCCTAATAAATATTGTTCAAATATATTTTTATATTGTCATGTTCTGTACATATGAGATGACAGTTTAAAAAAAAAAGTTATTTCTACGCTTGTTAGATGAACAGGTGACTACTCATAAGGGTATTTTCCCAAACACTTAGCTAAAAAGGAGGTGTTACGCCTTTTGTTCAGTAATCAGTGGTGTCTCCATTTGTGGCTGGAATATATGTGCACTATATATGAAGGTGTACTGTCATCTTTCAAAATGGTTGGTTACTCTAAGTAAAGGAGCAGTTTTTACCTGACACCTCAGAATTAGTTTTTTACTAAGCAGGGTAAATGCATTGTCATTTTTCACAAAGGTTCAGGTAAGTACTGCTTACATCTTTTAAGGACATGACAATTCACAGTGTTTGTTAGATCTCCTTTTAGCAACAAATCTACCCAATAAGAAGTGAGGTACAATACATCAAGCATAGAATTTTAAACTGGGAGAGTTCAAGCATTTTATTGAATGACAGAATTGCCTTTCCTTTCTATGAAGGAAGGAAAGTATCCTTCATGTAATACGAAGCCACAGGAACCAGAACCTCAAAGCAGAGATACTAAGATTTTGGTTTCTTCTGTTGTTTTATATGTGCTGCAGACTTGTGCTTTAAAGGAGAAACTGACTCGCATACCCTAGGCTGACTGGATGAGTAAGGTTTCTTGCTGTACATCCACTTGTGTCAACACAGAAATTATACACCATGGAAAGTATAATGAGGCAATCACAGTCATTACAGAAAGAGAAAATGATTCGTCATTAGAATGGAGATGCTCATTCTTCTGTGAAATAAATCCTAACTAGTAATTAAAATACATACTGCACTGCATTTAGGAAACATGAGGTCCATGCTTTGTCTAGCTAGACAAACCTATTCCTGGTCTCATAAATCAAAAGGAACACTGATGCAGTCATGCTTACAGTGCTGAAAATTGTTCACACTCATGCAAGTTAAAAGTACATCAGAGTACAATGTTAAAATAATTATTTTTAAAAAGCAAAAAAATCCACCCTTCCCCACTGTAAACCTTGGTCCAGCTAATAAGGCATAAAACTACCTGATTTATTAGAGGATGTGACATTCTGTAGATTTTGAGTGGCCTGTATACTTCCTGGAACACAAAACACAATGAGGGGAAAAAGATAACTGTGAAAATGACCGCTCACAAAGGAAAAGGTCAGGTTCAAAACTTTTTGAACAAATTTCTACTAGTGCTAGCATTTTGGAGCAAGCCCAGAAAAGGCTCTTGGGGTGAAAGCATAATCCGGCCAACATGGAAGAGAGAGCACCTGGAGCAGCAGCCTGCAGTCCACACACACACATTTTGCAAATGGGTAATTGTTTAGCATGTATTTTGTTGAGAATGCTGTCTCATGCTCAGGAATCTTAAAATTTATATTAAATATTAAAAAGTCATTTCCAGTGTTTAAGAAAAACTTCAGTATGAGAACTCCCACGTCAGTGTCAGTCTAAATGTGTAAATACCTTGGAATAATAAAACCAATGCAATATTTTCTAAATTTTTGCTTTTTTTTTTACACACAACCCCCAAAACATAAATTCAGAAGTAATTTTAAAATAAGTTTGCGAAAAATGGTGTGGTTGGGACTGTTTGGTATAACTAGGATGTCCAAAACTGAACTTTTCAGAGCCTGAATAAAAAGGTTTGCATATTTCTGCAACTTCTGCAATAATTTTTAAGGTAAATTATCCATTAATTTCAAACCCTGGTTATAAATGTTTTGTGTTTCCTGCTTTGAAAATGCTTCTACAAAGTGAAATTACTATTGGTTTGGTTTTTTGAGGGGAAGGGTGGAAGAGTAGCAAGTGAAGAGTATAAGTGAAGTTACTCATTGGCTGGACCTGCAGCCTGTGTGGGTTACACAAGTTCACAAAGGATGCGACCATGTGATAAAATGGCACTCTTCTCTGTTTCAGTTTCTGTCCTGTGCTGGAGGAGCGGCTGTGGCCAGCTGCTGCAATTCTTGAGGGAAGATTCCCCATTGGGCTGTACCATTCATGTATATAACAGCATGTCTCAAGAAGGACAAGATTAAAAATAGGGAAGAAAGACAAAGAGAAGGAGCAAGTAGTATCTTTGGGACTTTGGGTCTGGATTCCTACTTGTAGAAGGGAGTGACCACATTTTCTTCTGGATCAGCAGACTCCATCAGTTTATCATTCAGGCCAGAGCCAGCATGATGAGGGAGGACACAGGGATGTTTGGCCAGGAGAGGGGATACAGGGTCGGAGGATGGGACAGGTGTCAGGTGTGAGTCTACCTGGAGGTTGGTTATTTAAACTAGAGGTGCCACAGCCCTGCTCTCCTCCTACCCGTGATACTCCCACGTGTGTACTTGTGCTGGGACTGCAGCTTGTGACACCAGCTGATAAGATAGTTTGGGAAGCCAGGCTGGCCAAATATGAATACCGTTTGTGTTCAGCCAGCTGAGCTCCCTGAAATATTTTCCTGCTTAATTTGCCTGAGTGCCAGCTGGCATAAAAAAGCGGGGGGGGGGGGGGGTGGTGATTTGCAGCAGACAGGGAAAGGGCAGGACTGTGAATCAGATGAGATCAGTTTAAGATGCTGTGGTACCACATCTAGAGCTGCAAGAAAGCTTTTAGCTTGTAGCTGTTTGAAAGAAAAAAATCCAAAAGTCATTTTTTTCCAAAGTCATTTTTGGCATTGGTTATAGTGGTGTCCATGCCCCAGCACTGCAAGGAACAGGCACTTCTGTACTGCTGAGCTTTTTGGTACTAGCTGTCCTTATCAGCATCAGTTAAACAAGCCCAAGGCAAGTCAGGCTGATGTGCTGAAAATAGCTGCCAGAGTCAAGAGATAGCGTACATCAAGGTCTCATCAACATGGGGATTTTAGACGGCAAAGTTACAGAGTATTTTGTAAGGAAGCTTTCATGTGCAGCCTCTCGCCTGATGTCCCAACTGGCAGCCCAGAGCAGCATCACATTCCTGAGGGCGGGGTGTGCAGCCTTCCAGCTTCCCCACTGGGATGGGTCTTAGCGAGATATCACCACCTCAGCTTCCACAGGGAGAGCACTCTGGTCATGCTTTGGAGGAGGTGCCGATCTGCACGCGTGTGGTGACCGGATGACTGGGTTCTGCCTTTAACACCCTTGGTTTCCAGTTAAACTTTCACGCACTTGCTACCTTTTTATGATGACTAAATGCAGACCATTACTGGGGAAAAGAAGGAGAAATAAAGAAAAAATTATCCAACAATAGCTGAGATTTAATTATCTTTAATTCAGGTTAATGTTTTTCATGCACTGTCTTAAAGTTAAAATAACAGCTTTCACATTTAGCACCTCAGTCAAGTGACAGTTGCTATCATCAGGGTAAAATTCACACCTTGCTATGTTCCTCTTTTCAGAGAGACAATTTTTAGCAAAGACGTTTTAAGAGGGCATCAATTTACACCTTTGTGTCCCTGTGAAATTAAAGTTTAGAAATCACTCTCAGAGGCTACTTGAATGTTTGCATCATTTAGATGAACAAATAGCAGAAAGAAGGACTATCAGTCCCCTACTGATTGTCGTTGATCCAAACTTAAAACGACATATTTATGCTGTGAAAGGGAAGCAACATCCATGTAATGTAAGATAGATTTGGTTTTCTTAAAGTCCAGAAGAGGAGTGTATTGTGTGATTTGTCTTCATAGACATATTAGTGCTACACATCTTTTGTTAGTTATATATTGGAGGGCTGTTTGGATTCAAACTTTCATGTATACACATAGCAGTAAGAGTGCAATATCTGCTGGCTGGAACATTAATACAATTGCAGTACAGATCTGTGCTCTAGCAAATTATTTTTCTGAGCTAATATTCATCACAGTGAGGCTTTAAAAGTTTCCTATAAGAGGAAAAATAGATGCGATTTCCAGAAGTGATGAGGAAGTGCTTCTTTAGCAGCTGAACTAAAGGTGCACTATCTCCAAAAGAGGTGACATTTACACCCCTCTCTCCTCTTTTTTCTGTCTCTCTTTTTGCACTGAATTTCGGCTGTGGCATTTGCCAATGCCCATATGACCCAGCAACAGCATTCCACTGACATCACAATCCCAGTCCCCCCTCCCTATTTTCAGCTTCACAGTCACCAGACTTTACTTTGTGTCAGCTTTGATAGAGCTTTGATAATCATCTCACAATTTAGTGAGCTAATCTAGCTCACCAAAGAGGAAATAAAACTACTCCCCTCCATTTTCTTTATGAGCTCAAATTACCTGCGGAATAGATTGCTGGCCATTGCTGCAGCCACAAAAACAGCACAAGCACAAGCTGAGAGGAGGTGAAGTTGTGAGAAAGGATTGGAAAAGTGGGCCCATACTTGTTGGTTGTAGCAATAACTATATCTTCTCAGCTGCCTTATGAAGTTTGGCCTTTAGAGTGAAATTAGCTGTATCATGGGACGGTTGTGTTGAAACACAACTACACTTGTGAAGAAGGCTAAATTCCCACTCCTACTACTGACTACTTCTGGAGGGAACACAGCATCAACACCTAGCATCCATCCAGCAGTTGTACTTCTAACATGGATCTTCAAAATTACAGCCAGAGGAAGACAGCAGTTATGCACTTTCTCACAGGATTAGCATGGGTCATACCTGCTTTGTGTTGCATTCTCCAGCTGGAGTTGCTCAGTACTTGTGGAGGAATTCTTGCATGGCCAGACTAGAAGTGATCATTAGAGAGCTGAAAGGCCAAGGGGAATACAGAAACCACCTATAAATAGGCAGAAAGGTATAAAACCTGGCATCTGTTGATAGAAGAAGGATGTTTGTATTTTTTTTTCCTACTGCTTAGAAAACAAGGCAAGCCTGGGAACAGGATCCACACTTGCTAAGGAGTTGGAAGAGAAACTGCATCTGAAAAGTAAAAGCATTTGTGAGCTAAGAGTAATGGGAAGTGGGTTCTCCAATCCTTCAAGGAGTACAGTTCAAGAGGAGGGTAATCATAGATATGGCAGAGGCATTAGCATTTCATACTTAATCCCAAAATTAACTCAAGTCAGTTTTAACAGTGCGGAGTAAGTAGCTGATGGGACAGTAGCTTGGAAGTGCATCATGAGCTTTCTGTTTATTTTGTTGGTGCGAGGCATTTATAAATAGTGCTATTGCCCTTACCAGCCTCTTTGGTGCCTGTATCCACCACTTAAGATGCCAGTGACAATTTCTGAACTGCTACTCAGCTGCCACTGTCCTACTACTCAGTCAGGTTTCTTCTGGTGTCACTGCTGACATTACCCAGTCACTAGCAAGCTGATCAAAGCCAGTTCCTGAGGTGAAATTCTGGAAATCCTGAAGCAAGATTTTCCATAATCAGGGGAAATTACCCTTTCATACTAAGCTTGATGCATATGTGTTAAGTGGTGTAAGGGACAGCCTGTGACCTAGAGTGCACAAGCCTGCAATGCAGTATTTCTAGTGACTGCCCTAATAACTATGTTGTGATACAGCTATTAACTAGTGGAAGAAAGAAGAAAGTGCATTAAGACAGGAGCCAATCACATGTAACACTTACTTCATCTGGCATTCATTTGCTTATTCTGCCAGTCAGACCAGATCTCATAGGCATGCCCAGATCACTCCTAGTATCTGTGGCCTGCCAGCTCATGTGTCTGGACACAAACCAACAGTGGATGGAAGAACAGTGGAAGCACAAAAGACAGTACAAGGAATAAAATAACAGGGTAAAAATAAGAGATAGTGAGTGCAAATACAGGATGGGAGAACAAAGTGTTCCATCTGGTACTGGCAAACCAATTAAAGATGCTGATGTAAAGAGGGGTTTGTAGAGCTCAAGAACAGGAAGATAGGTGCCATTTCAGGTCCCTCAGCTAGCTATACAATGTCAGTGTGTTAGATGCCTACATTTTACTCCCTGTCCTACACTTCACCTTTCATGCTTTAATAGTGTGGGATGCTTTGTGATCAGCTGGCTGCTTTCTGAAATATTTCTTGCATAGATGTCTGATGCTTCCCTTCTCCAGGGAAACCTGGCTGGTTAGCTCAGGGCTGTAGAATCTGCTCGTTGCAGAAGTTCAGGTGTTTCAGGGTAACTGCAACAGTTCTTACAGCCAAGCTCCTCAAAGGTATCTCAGTGTGAACTACTGTTGTTTCCGACAGGATAGTTAAATAACACTGGGGACTGTATGTCAGGGCTCACAGTTCAAAAGATTCTGAGGGTATTTCCATTGAATAACACTTGTTATTGTACATGGCATCATTGAAGAATGGCAATTTTCTTCAATTTGTTTGAAGCCTTGTGCTGCTTGGCATTTTCTGTTTAGCTTGTACTGTCATGAAAAATAAACTTCCATTAAAAATTATCAAATATCAGAACCTCCTTACGGCTGATAGACTGGGAAGACTTGCAGAAATCACAAAAAAAAACAAAAAACAAAAAAAAACCAATCCACCACCAAACCCCCCCCAAAACCACCACCAGAAATAAAAATACTCTTAACTCTTTTTTCTTTTTTTTTTTTGTGGGTTTCTTTTTTTGTTGTTGTTGTTGTTTTTTTTTAATGCAGTCTCCCTGTTTGGGAGTGTGGGGAGAAAGGAAGTTTTTCATAAGGTTTTGGTTGGCAATAATACATAATAGGATTTCCTAGCCCTTTATGAGATGGATGCTACCTCCTCATCATCATCATTTCTATATATTCCTGCCTCTTCTGCTTAATCCTCAACTTTGCCTCTTCAGGTTCCTTTCCTTAAATTCCATTTTTTCCTCATAGGTGAACATATATCCAGGATACATTTAACTATGGCAATACCTAAAATCTTAAAATGTTGTCTAGCAGTGCCTAGGAGCTTAAGAATGCTGAAATTGCTGTTGTGAGTCACATGCGGATGTCCCTGCTCTAAATGATGCTGTGTATCAAGGGCATTCAGCACAAGCAGAAGAATGGATATGACTTCCTGAATAGCAAACTGAGAGTAAAACAGTCATACTGTTGGCCTGATGCTTCTTCCATTATGTTGTCCTCCATTTCCCTTACCTTGGGTACTATTATGTACCCTCAGAGCAGGTCCAGCTGCCTGATACATTGGCAACCATGACATAAATTGCTCTTTGCCCTTCATCGCTTCCCTCATCACAGCCACACCTGCTGGGTGTGGCAGGGACTTTGGCCCAGGAAATCCACATTTGTTTTCCAGAGTGAAGTTTCTGATTGTCCAAGTTGGAAGTTCTGTAGGAACCTTCCCCCATGGAGGCAAAAATGAAGGTCTTAACTATCAGTCCAGAATCAGTTTCTAGAAAGGAGCGTCATACGTGGCTGTTTGAAATCGCAATAGACATTGTTTGCTGACCCCAAAAAGGGTTTGCTGACCCAAAAAGAAGCCCTCTCAAAAGTGCAGGTTTTCTTTGCTGAGATTTTTCTTCCCTGCGCAGTGCATTTAAATAGCGTCCTGTTGTAAGAGAGAGTTCCAGTTTGCGTTCCAAGTCAATTTGGATGCATTTCTAGTTGCTGGATCATTTAACACCATGTTGCTGTAAAATCTGTAAAAATTTCACTTTGTAAAGGGTTTGGGGATTTTTTGGCTTGGTTTGTTCGCTTGGAGTTTGTTGGTTTGGGTTTTTTAGGTTGGGTTATTGGGGTTTTTTAGGTAGGGTTATGTAATTTTCCTTCCTACTGTAGAAAAAGGTTGGGTTGGTTTCAGTAGTGCATTGTAATTACATTAGCTCAGGGGAAAATGCTGACAGTGTAAGGAATACATATTTTTACTGAGAACAACCTTTGTAATGTCTTGCGTAACTGTTTACAATGAAACCTGTTTTAAATGGCCTCACTGAGAGGCAGTGAAAGGTATTTGCCCAGTAGAAGTAGCCCGTGACTGCAGTGTAGCACTGTTCACCTAATGGCAGACTGTAACAAATGTCATTGCTTATTGCAAGTGGTGCTTATTGCAGAATTGTGGTGTATCTGGGGATATTCTGCAAATAGTCCTCTACAAAGAAATGAAACTATTTCCCAAATTCTATACTTCATTATTTCTGAAAGTATTTTTTCCTTTTCTTCCATGGTTTTAGCTTATTGCCTCTTGTTAAGGCAGATTTCAGTGGTGAATGTCATCTTGAATTATATTTTAATCTTTCATCAATTAGTGAAATGCTCCAGGAGGAGGAACAAAATGTATTCAGGAGTTCAAAACCAAATAGCATGACATGGGAAGGAAAGTGGGGAGGCAGGACAGCCAGAGTCTTAGTTCTGCTGTTTGTTGAAAGGTCTGGGCACAGTTTGCTTCACCTGTTTGTTCCCCAGTTGTTCCATCTAAATAACTGTATAATTAAGTATTTGCTTGTCTGAAAGGGACAGTATAAAAACTAAAATCAGTAACTCATACTGCAAAACACTTCGTCCTACCCCTTCATAGAGGAAATACTGAGATGCATTAAATTATATAGATGCTATAATTTGCATTTCAGAGGACAATTCAGTGCATTTTATGACCTCACACTGGAAGTTGAGAGATCTGTTTACACTACAGGGTGGCAAAGGCTGATACTTGGCCTGAAGGGACATCGAAAGCAGTAGTACTGGCCCTTCCCTTACCTGGTGCTCTCACTGCTCCGTGCTACACCTTTGTGTTTGGGCAGCGTTCGTTTCCTTGTAGCCACCAGGGAGATGGAATCAGGCAAACCCCGCAATTTAAGGGGAGGGAGAGAAGCATCAACCCAAGACAGATGAGGGCTGTGGCCTGCCTCTTTCAGCGGCAGCAGCAACTTTTAGATCAGCTTCAGCTGTCTTACCTTACCTTGATACAGTATCTGCTGGTATTTCACCTAAGTACAAGCTGCAAGTGAAGTCCTGGCACCACTGAAAGGAAGGGCTTGGCTCCCACTGAGCTCAGAGAGGTCAAAGCTTCCTCTTGCAAGGTGCGGCTTCCTATCAGCACCCCAGCAGCAGTTTGGGATGGTTTAGGAGCTGCCCACACTGCCCCGCTGCTCGCAGCAGCATCTTTACCTGCTGGCTGAATCAGTTCCTGAATCCCTCACTGCTCATTATGAGCTTGGTTATGAATATACATATGTGAGTATGCATATGAGTATCAACGTATGTGTTCCTGATAGTATTATCGCAGGATGATCATTTTTGCAAAAAGGCAAAGATGACTATGTGGCTAGGATTATTAACATTCATTGAAGTACTTGTCATTTTAGCTAAATCTTCTATTAAAAGACTGTGAAAACTATGTATACTATTGTATTATTGTCTTTTTGTGCTACAGTGGTGTCTAAAGGCTCCAGTTATGAGTCATGTCCCTTTTTCACTAAGTACAGTAAGTATGCATAACGTTTTGCATAACATTTTTCACTAAGTGAAAAAGAGAAATGGAGTCATGTAAGTATGCAATAACAAAAGATTGTGCGTACTTATTGTACTTAGTGAAAAAGAGACATGACTAAATAGTCTACTCTGTTCTCTGAAGTTAGTGTTTCTTTTTAGTGCTCCTAAAGCTGTGCAATTAAACTGTCATATTGGACCTGATATTTCAAGATACATTCTTCATGGACATATGGCATTTTAATTCTACCACAAAGTAATATTGCTCATATGATTATTGACCTGGTATTGTAACCTCATGCCAGGTCAAACATGACTGATTTTCAGTGTGATTTTATTTCATAATAAACCCTTCTTCTTATGTAGCCTCGATTTTTGCTGTCATTTAAGATGGCACAATTCTGACTATTTTTGTTTTCCCTCTGTCAGGGATCACTACTCCAATAGCAGAAGGAGTAAAACAGCAAGTGTATCCATACCTCAGCTCCTTCAGTTTGCTCTTTGGAAATCCATCAAATGAAACAGCTTTCAGTGCATCAGCTTCAAGATGAATTGAACTGCCTGAAAAATGAGAATGACCCTTTTTTTTTGTTCTTGATTTTGCTGCCTGATGTAACTTCTGGTGGCTGGAGGCCTGGGGAGGTGGGTGTCTTAGTAGAGGAGTGGGGCAGGATATTCTATAAACTATCTGTTTTGTTTTGTTTTGTTTTTAAAGCAAATGTTTATAATTTGCTTTAGCTGGTCTGGGGCCAAGTATCTTACACATTTATCAATGCAGACAAATCAGAACTAAACTCAAGTATTTTTAGTAGTCTTGACCAGAACTATAGTCTACACTTCTCCTTAAAAAAAGAATTAATACCATAAATTAACTGACTTTTTTTTTTGTAAAAATAAACAAAACAAACCAAAAAACCTGCACAATCAAAAAAACCATCAACATAAAAAAAATTGGAAAAAAAAAGTCCAAAAAAAACCCAACCCAAACCAAACAACCTAAGATATGAGAAATACTTTTAATTTAGTCAGTGTTAAATGATGTCTAGTGAGGAAAAATACTAAGTGCCTCTAAGGTAAGTATGAAACAGACATAAGGAGATGGTTATGATACACCTAACTGCCTACTTACTCGCAAACTACTTATGTTTCCTGGAAGAGAAAGGCTTTAAGCAAGGATGTAGAAGAAATTAACTTAGTGGCCTTGCTTCTTTTGGGAGGGAGGGGTATCCTCCAATGCCACTGATGATCAAAAGAGAAAGCAGAAAAGTGCTATGTGCAATAAAAGATCGGGCCACCTGACAAAGCAGAGGCCAAAAAGGTGAACAGATTGAAAGGATGTAAGAAAATATGATAGAGTAAACCTCTACATGTAAATCTTTACAATGACAGAGTAAATCTCTACATAGTAGATCTGTGATCTGTCTATGATGAAGTAAACCAACACAGGCCCAAAACAAATAGTATTTTTTACATGGTGAGAAAAAGGAACTAATGGAGAGACACAAATGCAGACATGGTATGATCAAAGTGATGACACAAGAAGAAAGTTGTGTATATACTAGGATTTAGAAAACAAGATTGTACCTGCTAAACTGGGGGAGAAGTGATGACAGCAGCATATCTGCATGACTTACCTATAACATAAGAAGCAAACACTTTGTAGTCTAAGAAATTGGAAAAAAAAAAAGAAATTGCACAATTACTTACAATGCAGGTACAATTTGCCACTAGTTGAAGGCAGAATAAACTGAGCCCCAAGTGTGTCTTGAGCAATGAGGGACACCCATGGTGCCTGAGGACCAGGATAAGGTTTATGTGCCACCTCTGCCTTGTGAGATCCTTTCCACACACCTTACGCTTTCTTCTTATAAAATCTATTGCCTTTCTTTGTAGGTATGTATCTTTTAGAGCATTTTAGAGGTGGTATCTCTTCACATAGTCAAAACAATCCTGGTGTTTTGATGGGCTGATATTTTGCTTCATGGATTTAAAGTGAAGACTATGTAGTCTTTCCCTCACCAATTCAGATTCTGGTATCTTTGCTACTATCATGTGCTGCTCTCTCCTTGTTCACACAAATTTCCCAGCACACAGCGGTTACTGTCACCAACCTTTAGGACCTCCTCTGCCACTGGTGACATTTGCAGGCATAGGCACTGTTATTTTTATGCAGAGAAAGATTTCTCTCAGGACCTAGTCTAACACTCATTCCATCAGAAATACTTCACATCTGCTCATGCTGTCACAACTATAAACCTTTTTTTTTTTTAGTTCGTTCTTTCTTCAGTATCACAGATGAGATATGTATTTACTACAAAAAAAAAAACAACCCAGAAACCAAACAAAACTTCTCAAATGCTATTCTTTCTTGCCAGAGAGGAAGAAGGCTGAGGGAGAAGTTGATCTTTGTTTCCACTCCTTATCTCTTGTTTTTTGTTACCTCTTATATTTGTTAATGGCTGTAAAATAATAAAGTAGCTTAGAGCTGAGCAGAGCACCGCCATGTTATAAGTATCAAAGGCTGATCAGCTTGGAAACAGGGATTAAGAGATTTTGACTCTTCTTTTAAATGCATCGGAAACAAGACTATGGTGGCCCTATGAAAATTCCATGAATGGGAAGGGCTGCCTGTGTAGTTTGTGTGGCACCAGCTGAAGACAGCCCTGGGAGAGGGCAGGCTGGTGAACGCTGCAAAGGCTCATCCCAGGATTTCCAACATTCTGGATGATGTTTAACCCACCTGTTCTCCCTCTCTGGCCACTATAACTACAGGTGTAAGATTCAAGAAGGTCTTTTAGAAGAGACAGACTTCACTCTGGAGGTTTGGCTATTGACGTTTGACTAGGGAAGATGCAGTTCAGTAATGCTGAACAACCTTCTTTGCCTTACCCTGCACCATGTCTCCCTCTTCTTTAGCTCATGTGTTTTCAGACAATTCAGTTACAAAAACTGCCTCAGCACCACCATGGGGACAATGAGTAGCAGGACCACTGGGAGAAGCACAGAGTGAGAAGGAATTCATCTGCAAAGGCAAATGACTGAAGAGCTGATTTGGGCTGGGCTGGGGAATGTGGTGTGTCCTCCAGGTGCATTAAGGAAGAGTATGCTGAAAACCTAGAAAGAGGACAGGAGGAAACAGCCCAAGAGATGGGTTTGTCCCCCTTAAAGAAAGTGTCAGTGACATTTTTTAATAGATGTGGAGGTAAGACACCCAGTTATAATATCTTGTATATGAAAATGCTGACCGCAGGCAATACAAATGAAAGATCTATTAATAGGAGCAAATAAAGCTAGACAAATAATGTTTGACACTTCCCTACATCCTCTGCTCAGCTAACTCAGTACGTTTCTACATTCAGAGAGCTTATTGTTCGGGATACATGGGGAACAATCAGAACAAAAAATGCTTCAGGTAAAATAGTGATACAGGCAAACTGTTTAACATTTAAGTGTATTTTAAGCACTAATAAATTTGTAAGCACTGGTGAAGACATAATCTTTTAACAAAGTGAGGCAAGTAAATAAATATAAGAGCTAGGTTTGTAGTTACCCTACGGGAAGAAATAAGAAACAACCAAATGAATAAAATAACTCTTTGAGTTAAAGAGCCTGCAGGGACCATGTAAATTCAAGCCAATACAGATGCCAGCTTCAGTTTTTAAAGCCCAGGAGGGATGCTTATAAATGCAAACCGTTTTTTACAAAATATGATAAAATTCAGAATAATTCATTTAAAGAGTTTCTTTTCTGAAGGTCTTCAGTCAGGTTCTTAATTGTGTCTCTGAAGTGGGTGAGGCCATTTAAAGGAAAATAAGATACAGAAGCAGAGAAAAACACACAGTTCAAGAAGATAATAAAAAGACAGCCTTTAAAAATGTTAAAGAAGCCCAGCCTTCCAAGAAAAAAACACAACAAAACCAAAAAACCAGCTCACACAAATATTCCACTGCATGCAAAACAAAGCAGTCTCTGATAAATGAATCAAACTGTAGTGCTGCTTAATTTGTAAGTGTAACTTTCAAAACAAAGGGATGGGATGGCCTAAGATTTTTTTGTTGACACTGTCATCATTTCCATTAGGATTTTTTTTAAATGTGCTTGTTTCTTTACATTAGAAATGTCAACAAAAAAGGCCCTTCAGAATTTCAAATATATGTTTGGAGTTCACAGCAAATACTGTTTTAAAGCCCATTTTGTTCTAAGAATTAGTCAACATTTTTTGTCACTATATAGTGGCACTTTAATTATACTAGTTTGTGCCAGTGTAACTGCATTCAGACAAAAAGCTACAGTGATGCAAATGCTCCTCCTCCCCCCTCAAGCGCCTACATTCAGAAATTACCTTCAAGTCAAGACAGTTACAGACAAGGCCAAAGGCAGGGGAAAAAAAAAAGAACATTTTAAATAAAAGCTACAGCTAAAAATGCAGGCCTTGGCTAAACATTATAAACAAAAATAATCACATATAAAAATCCAGAGTGCTTTTAATGTTCTGAAATGACTCAAGCACCGTTGCCAGCATGGCTAATTCTGTTATAAACAACATCAAGAAGCGAAAGGTGAAAGTTGGAGCTGTCTTCCAACATAACTTTTTTTTTTTTGATACAGAAAAATGTTACCTGTGAATTTCAGAGACTCAGAGAATTGCTTCCATTAGCTGAAAAAGAGAAGTTAAGAAGTAGAATCAAATGTGAAGGAAATAAAAAGTAGAAAAAAGATTAGTGTAGGGCAGCAACAAAAAAGAACGAAAAATAAGACAATGGATGGAAAAGTGGAATTAAGCATGCGGAAAAAATATCACCCCAAAACATTAGCTGAATTTCTTTTTTTTTAATATCTTTTGTTTCCTCTAGTCTTTTTTGTTTCTCTTTTCCTGAATGTGATCAGTCGTTCTGAGTGTTCCATTTATTTTTACCAGGCCAAATCAAACACAAAGAGAACGCAGGGCAGTCAGGAATGTAGCACTTTCACACTGAAATCTGATACCACCAAAGCTGGATGTAGCCTCCGTGAAGCACTTTTTGGTCAAAGGACGAATGATTAGCAAAATGAATTCAGTCACATTTCATTGTGCACGGTTCGGGGGTGGGGTGGGGTAAAACACACACCCAAATTGAACCGAAAAAGCTACTAACAGCTTGGTGGAGAAGAGGAGCAGAACGAAAATGAAATATTCAAGAGCTATGACTGGAGCCGCACGCTGACCACGTGAACCTAATTTATTAAGCAATTCCTCAGATTTTCGTCACACCTTTTTGCACAGAAGCAAAATCAGCATGTTGAGAGCTCAACATGCAGTGGCTGTACAGGGCTCTAGATGCAGAGATAAAGCTGAGCAGACAAAAAAAGCAGCAGCCTGCCAAAATACTATCATCTAGGAAAACAGACGGCACAGCCTGAAACCAAAGAATTTTGGTCAAATCCTTCCCCTCCTTCCCTGGCTCTTCACACCCAGACACAGCCTCGGGCTGGCAATTCAGCCACTGAAAAGGTGCAAGTCCGTAGAACAACAACGCCGTTTTTTTTCCTTTGATGCTGATAATGAGGGTTGAGGCTTTCTGGGAATTTTTGTTTCTGATCAGGGAAAACAATGATATTCCAACCACAGCCATTAATTAACGAACTAGCTTAT